TTTTCGCTTTTATCATTAAATTTTCGAAATCGTAGAAAAACCTAAGATTATTATGTTTTTTCATTTTTTTTGTCAAATCATGAATATCAAATTAAAGATGAACAATAAAATGTTTATTCTCTATTAATTGTTAAGTTCAATAATTTATTATCGTATTATTCCAAAAAAATTTACTAAAATACGGTATAGAAAATATAAATTGTCGATTTCGAAAATTATTATTCAAAAAGTAAATTACGTAAAACGAAATAACTTTAAAATGAGTGGGAAAAAATAAGTAAATGAATATTCGATTAAACATATCATTATCAAAGATGACTTGAAATTTTTGAAAAAAACTTGAATTATTGTGATTAGAAAAAAAACACCTAAAAGAGTTCAATAATTAAATAAAACTTTTTCGAAGACGGGAATTACGATACAATGACACTTAATAACATGTCATTTGTCTAATGTATCATTGTAATCTTAACGATCTTATTTCTTATATCATCTTTTTTGCAACTGTTATTAATTAAGCTCGTGAAATAATGGGATTTTTTCGACATTAATTTCATTTATTTCATCTTATCACCAAAAGATGATGCATTTTGCTGATCAAATTTTAGCACTGTATAAATTTAAATTCGAGTTTATATGAATTCTGATATTGTTTACTTGAAATTGTTGATTAGCTTTGTAAAAAACGACCAATAAATATATTTGATGAACAGGTAATGGTAAAGTTTTTGGTACCATGAATCAGTTGATAACTCATATCAATCAAATTACTCTCAAGGAATTTTTAGAAATTTCGAAATTAATTTGTGAGAATTAGTAAGTCTTATGGAACTGAAGTAAAATAAAGAAAAAAAATTGCATGCATTTTGGAACAAATATATAAGAATATTTTCCTAGAATTTATTATTACTTATTTTTAGGGGATATTAAGTTTTAAAATATTTTCAAGTACCAATTTCTGCAATCATTTCTACTCACTAATATCCTCAACTTTATTATCATTGATTTAAAAGTTCATCATTCTCATAATTTTCTGTCAAATTTAATAATATTTCAAGATTTGCCATATTAAATTATTTATCTAACCTTTTACTTCCAACTATCAGAGTTATCGCTACAGATGTAATAAGTAAATTTCATTGTGTTTTAATTATGTTTTATCGAGTTTTCTTTATCAATAATTTTAATTGCATTGAAATATTTGATAAGATGTTGGATGGATAATGTTTAATTGATCTTATCACTGTAATCATCTCTTGTCCAAAAAAGAAAAAAAAAAGTAGATAAATAAAACAAATGCTATTGTTCCAGTTAACAATGAAAAACATTAACCATCCAATGTTTCAACATTTATGATAATGATAATTGACTAATGAATTATTCGTAGATTTTCTTTTTTTTTACGTTAATAACTGGTAATTCAAAAAAGGTTATGCCTTACTTTTTAATCATAATTTTATAAAATATAACTAAAAATATGCAATGTATCCTCTTTTCAATAAAATTCAAATATTTTGATTTTAAAAATTGTATAATTTTCAATAAGAATTAATCGCTTTCTTTTATCGTTATTGATAATATTTTAGGTGCTCTGAAATTTCAAATTTTCGAAGAAAAAAAGATGCAATGAAATGAATGAATTTCAATACCTTTATCATAAATCAAAATAATGAATTCTATCATCACTTCGTCATACAACAATCTATATCATTTCTCAATTCTTTGTATCATGTTTAATTTAATTTCTCAATGTTGCCTCACAAATTAAAGTCCAATTTATCTTCAATTTTCAGTTCAATTCAATTTTTTTTTTTACTTCAAAACTTTGCTTTTTTTTTACTCACTTATTTTATTCAATTTTTTTTTCTATTGTATAAAATAAAATCACGAATGGAATATTGTAGGAGAGAGAAAAAAAAAGATTTTTGAATAGAAAAAGATTTTTTTTTAAAATATTCCAAAAGGAATATTTAAAAAAAACAGTAAAGTAACTTTTCAGAGTAATTAGGGTATTATAAAAATTAAACAAAGTAATCAAAATTGAAAACTGATGAAAATATTATATGATATTATATTATTAAAGCTTTTTTTTTTCCTTTTCTTCATCCTTTTTTTCCCTTCTTTTGTAGCAAAATTAAAAATAATAAATGAAATGAAATTAAATTTTATTGAACCCTTTTCAAACGTACATATCACTTACTAGTTATAACATTTAACAAATTATATCAGTTAGTGATCATATCATTTACTAATTACTTTTAATATTTACTACAGTAAGTGTGTTTTATTTTTAATTGACAATAATCTTTCTACTATAGTTAAACACCATTTTCATGTTGAAACTTATCGTAATAACTTTTATATTTTTTGCATATTTCCTTCAAACAGAATAAATAAATAAACAGTTACTCATGAATGTAAATATCAAATCTTTAATCGGTTTTGATTTTCATAGTTTTCTTTATGAATTAATCACTGATATTCAATTCTGAATAATTTCAACTTCGAATTTATCACTTTTGTAAATTTTTTTCGTTTTTTTTGTTTTAAAGAATCAAAAAATTAAAGGAAACGTTTTTGTTTTTCGTTAAATGAAGAAAGAATGCAAAGAAATTGTTTGAAAATTGCATTACTTTTGACATTTATTCGTTATTTTTCTTTCCTTCCAAAAATTGTTTAATTAAAATTTTAATCATTAAATGATTATTAGCTTTTGTCATTCCCATTCCTTTTCATTTTTCCATTTTTTCTTTTTTTTTTTCTTATAAAATGGGAAAGGTCCATATTGTCTTGATTAGTTGCTGGTTTAAAAAAAAAGTAGATAGGCAGAAATTAACACATCTAATGAACTGGTTGGAAAGAAAGGAAGCATGAAAAACAAAAAATTTTAACCGGTTTAAGCATTTGATATTTTGCAATGCTTATCACTTATCATTACGTAATCAAAAATTTTTTTGAACGATAAAAGAACGAAAAGAAAAAGAAGGAGTTCTTTTTTTTTTATTTAACATCATATCATATCATAAAATTTATCAGCTCATTTGAGGTTAAACATGAATTTATTTTGGGGGAATAACAAAAGAAAAAAAAAAAACAATTGTTGAAACAAACGCTGAAAGAATTTTCTTAGATTTTATAGATTTCTTTTTTTAATTTTATTAGATTTTTAGTTTTATTAGGGATCTGGCTGTACATAATTTAAACAACTTTTTAAGCCTTAAATTAAATTTCACTTTAATTAGGCATATGATGCAAAAAAATTTTAATTTGATATTGGCGTGTAGTTTTTCGAAAATAGAAATTGGAATAAAATGAAATGCACACAACATTTATCATTTGCCATTTAAATATCGTTAGAAATTTGCTGAAATTCTTTTGGATTTAAAATAATTTTCAAATATCCCAACTTTAATTTTTTTTTCTTTGGTAGCTTCAAGGCTGTTGTTACTTTGAAATTCGATCAAGCATTTTTTAAGTGGCATGAGAATTAATGAAATTAGGATTTAAATTTAGAGAATAAAGGAAGAAGAAAAGAAGAAAAAAGATAAAAATTCTGCCAGGATGGACAGGACTGTTGAAAAATTTCACCTAATTTTTTGAAATAACAAAAATAAAAGACAAAAATAAATGTAAATTTAATGCTAATTTTTTTTTGCAAGGAATTTTTTTTTTATACTGAAACAAACTAATTGTATTTTGCGCATTTGAAAATCCTTTGCTTTTCTGTTTTTGAAAATTTTCTTTCCCTATTACTCGAAAAATTTTATTGCAAACTTTTCATTTAACTTATTTTTTGATTGTTATCATAAAGTCTTTAAAAAGTTTGTTTTAGATTATCGTTTTTTGAAATAAAAATTAGCATTAAATTTGCATTTGAAATAGGATTACTAATATTGGTTTAATATGAGATAGGATAGCTATATGAAAAGTAT